GCAACAACACATACAACAATTAGGAAAATGTAGAATGAAAATATAGAAATAATATTGTGGGCAACATTACTTACCGTAACGTACGTCTGATCCCTCTGCAACTCTGCGAGGTTTTCGTAAAGTCCCTCGAGGAAAGCTTTTCTTAGCTGCTTCGTATTCGTTCCGCAGCTCGCCTTTTCCAAATTCGCACGTTCCGCCAACGCCGCAAGCTGTTGCCTTACTTCCGACGCGTACTCCAGATTTCGATGGTGCAAAAAGTTCTCGTGGCACCACACCTTTTTCTGTGTAGCACTTCGGTATGCTCGAAACACATTCAACAGCATTACGTGATCTCCCTCAGGCGAAGCAAATCTGAAAATCCCCAATGAATCGACAACATTAAACAATGATTTACTTAGCCAACTTAACAAACTGTAAAGGAAAATGCATTTTATTATATATTCTCTGTAAGTAATAGTCATAAAGATTTCATCTTGATTTTATTTTCCTTTTAGACAATAAATAGATTGTGCAAGCAAGAGCCATACCGTGAGCGTGCATTGTGAGCTTGTTCCCTTTTCGTAGGTGGATCCATAAAAATCGATTCTCCCGATAGTAAAGAAACAACCGTCAGTGCTTCCTCCAGACACCTGTGTTCCACCGACGCGAGGATCACTTTGGTAAATCGAGGATCTAATGGAAATAGTGACATCGTACGGCCAAGTGTAGTCAGCTGCGGTGGAGATCCTTTTAAAAAGGATAGAAGAACTTTATTATTTGTCTTGATTAAAGAACGATTCTCGTTATTCGCATCACGTTCAATATAATGGAACAAAGATATTACGCAAACAATCGCTAATTAATAATTTTTTTATATCCTGTTTCAATTTCAATATGAAAAAATGTCTTTTATTATATTTTTCATTTCGTTTATTAAATAAAAAAAATCAATCATTTTGTGAAAATTATGTAAACGAAATTTAATGCATTACTTTATATACATATCTAATAATTTTATATACATATCTAATGAGAATTCTCTTATTTTGTTTAACAAATAATATTTAAATATCTTCTATAACAAATAAATATACAAATATAAAAATAATTCGTACCTTTAACCGCACCTAGCTTCTCTAAACATTTCACAGCCACATCTACGCCTTCCTTAGGTGGTTTATCCATGAAATCGAAGGTAGTAATATCAACGCCAATAGCGAGCAGTTGAAGAGCAACTCCCGCGAGAGAACACCTTTGAATTTCTGGCACCGGCATGTTCTTCATTTTCTCGAATTCTTCTCGGGTGTAAGCTCTGTAACACCTACCCGGCGATTCGCGAGCGGCTCTACCCGCTCTTTGCCAGGCTTGAGCTTGTGAAATTTTTTCAACCCTCAACATGTCTAATCCCGTCGTTGGATGATGAGTTCGCGCTTTGACAACACCGGTATCGATCACATGACGAATTCCTATATTTAATTACCTTATCAATTTCTTAAATCAGAGATTTCAAATAACAATAAGTTCAATAATCGCGAAGGTTATGAATTAAAGCAAACGTAATAATTTATAACATAGTTAATATCGCAATACATGTATACTCATTTTCATTATTCCTAAAAAAGACATTCGAAAATAAATTTTCTTTATATTTTATAATCTTATAATTATTTGATTTTGTTTTTATAAAAAAACTTCAGCGCTAATAAAAACGTTTATTATTTTCCATATTTTATTAAAAAATAAAATAATGAGAGAAATAAAGAGAGCCTATATACATACCACCAATCGTGACAGATGTCTCAGCGACGTTTGTCGACAATACTAATTTCCGCATTCCCGGTGCCGAAGGTTTGAAAGCCTCTAACTGTTGGTGAGTGGGCAGCGCTGCGTATAAGGGAAAAACTTTTAGCGCCGGATACTTCTGTTCATCCAATTGTTTAGCCACTTGTCGGGCGGCTACCACGGCTGCTTCTATTTCTTCTTGACCAGTCAAGAAAATCAGAATATCTTCACTGGAAAATAAAAGCCAAAGACCAAATGATATTAGCAATATTGTTGTACAATAACATATTCTTGTGTGGATTCTCACACAAGATCCTAGTTCTGATTTATTTTAGAATAGACACTTCACTTTCATGTACATAATGTAAACATATTTCATATTCCGTATTAGAATTACAAGTGTAATACTTACTTTGCAGGTACCTGACGATGAATTTGAAACGCCGTAACTAGTGCGGCAAATGCATAGTCCTGTTGCGTGGAAACTGCATGAAAAATTCTCACGGGATATTGACGGCCCTCCAGATACAACGCAGGTGCCTGGAAGTACTCTTTGAATTTATTAGGATCCATCGTGGCTGACATAATCAGAAGTTTCAAGGGCGGTAGGTTCTTTAACTTTCGCAAATTCTGCGCTCGTCTCGTCACTCCGAATAGAACGTCGGTCTGTACAGATCGCTCGTGAGCTTCGTCGAGTATCACTACCTGTCGTAAATTTATGAACTTTATTGTTCTATATCATAAAATTATAATTACACAATTAGATAGCAAAAAGAAAATTGCATAAAAATGCTGAAAGAGAGTTGTACAAATTCTTTAATGTATTTTTTTTCTCCATAAATATTTAATTAAAAGTTGTCGTTAAACTTCTAAAGAAATAACAATAATTTAAATTTCATCATTTATTAAAAATATTTAAATATTTAAATCTTTTATCTTTAAGTATATTAAATATTCGATAGAATAAACTGATTATATCGATTTCCGATTTTCTGAGAAAATTAAAGAAAATTTATAACATTAACATATATAAAATGCAATAATTCTAAAATGTTTCATATACAATTAGTAAAGAATTTCAGCTCTTTCCGAAAAAGGATATTGCCGAAGGATCAAACTCTTTATTTATCACTATCTCCGGATATACATTTGCGCCTTTTTTAATAATGTTATCTTAGTAATAATTATATATAATGTACCGAATAATCTGACAGGATCTCATCAGTCATCGCCTCTCGCACCATCATGCCGTCCGTTAGATATTTTATCTTCGTATGCGAGGAGGTGCAATCCTCGAAACGTACGCAGTAACCCACCAATTTTCCCAGCTTCACTCCCTGTTCTTGAGCAACTCGGCGCGCTATACTGACGGCCGCTATCCTGCGTGGTTGCGTAATGCCGATGCAGCCAGACGTGCCGGCTATACCGGTCTGGAGTAACAACTGCGGGATCTGCGTGGTCTTACCGCTGCCGGTTTCGCCTATTATAATTAGAGTAGTGTGCCGGCGTATCTCTTCCAATAATCTGAAAATCCACAAGCGCGATCGCTCCATTTAAACAATGATTCGAAGACAAATAGATGATAATATTATAAATAATAATATTGTATATAATGATAGAATACTATAATACACATAAAATGTATTTTGTATTCATTAATAAAATATTTATTATTATTTTTACTGCAGAGAAACACAATCATTGGCGCTTTATATGTGTATACATAAATTAGGCAATATTTTCACATAAATAGATTCTGTAAAAAAATAAAAAGTAAATAAAAAATATATACACAGTAGTTTCCTCTAAGAATAAATATTGCTTGCTCAAATGAGATATATTCATAAGAGTGAATAAAAAACTCTAATGTTTTATTCCGTTTTAGCTTACGGAATTATAAATTGTTTCATATGCGCAATACATTAATAAAATATAATATTGTCAAAAATTAATAATTTCAGAATTTTAAAATTAACCGGCGATTTTTAAAGTTAACGATTTTTTAAAAGCTGGTTCTTAAACTTTTTTACAGATTGCATCAATGAATCTAATTATTTGATCAACAAAATTATCAGTACTCGCGTGCGAGTATCTACCTTATCGAACAGGAATGAATATATATATATATATATATATATATATATATATCAGAGTTTCCCCTTCTCTCTCTCTTTTTCTCTCTATTGACTAAACACTTGTAAAGCTTGTATGTACACTGTATTCCTCCATTTTGAAACATCCTGTATACACTGCGTGTACACAAATAAACGTCATTGTCTTATATATTTATATCGACGCATATGACAGTATGACACGTGAAAGATATATCAAAGAAAGGAACGTGGTCTTACCTTTTACGATGCATGTAGACGGGCAATGATTTTCTCCGCTGATGCACACTAACGTTCACCTTATCGTTGGTCTTTGTTGTCTTCGTAGAATTGTTGCACTGGTTATTTTCATTCATTTTTTGCACTTTATTGGATTTTTCGTGAAACACGACAGTATTGGGCCGTTTCATGGCCATCTTGGACGACTTCCCCATCACGTTGTACTTGGAATCTGCGTCGTCGTGGACCCTCATCTCGTAAACTCCTCGTGCGCGAATATGCGAAATATCGTTCGCAGCACGATCAGTAGAGTACCATCAAACACGTGTTGCACACTACAGCTGTTTCTGCATCGCTTCTTGAACTTGAACGCCCTCTCGGCAAATATGGCAGTAGGACTGTAGCAATCATGGGACTTTTGCATACTGTGTATTGGATGCAGTGATGCGCAAATAAAAATCACTATGTTACGTATTTCTGGAAAAGCGGGAAATTTTGATTAATTATAGTTTGAGAATAAACGAAACCACCTGTATGCAAGAGACAATGACTGCGTTCCGTAATTCATTGGCAGTAATTCCAGAACGCACACACAGCTATAATATTACAGCAAATAATTATACAATATACATCTTTTAAAATAATCTTCTCTAAGAAAAATATCAAATTATTTTCTAATACTTAAAAAAATATAATATTGATTATAATATTGAATTTCTCTGTAAAAAATGATCCAAATAAAAATTATACAAGAAGCTTCTATTTCATGAAGTTATAAATTCTTGCAATTTTCAGGATTAGGGATTTAGCTTCGCACAATTATTGTTTCAATACATGATTTTCTTTTTTTACAGAGCTTCTATATATATATGTGAATTATAAAATGACATATATATATATATATGTATCTTAAAATAGATTTACCATTGCACCAATGCGAGACAAATAACGGTTTCGTATACTGATATCAGATTGTGGTTGCATAAGACTATCCGCTGAGAAATCCGATGTACACTCCGACGACAATAATTTTTCTCGTTCTAAACTCTCCGGCGTACATCGAAGTGTCTCATATCGTTCTCTTTGTCCTGGTGTCATATTGAGATAACCACTGCTTGTTGCTATGTCCGATACCCAGATTGCACCAGCGGTTATCAACGAAACTGATTGCAATAAGTAAAATATATTTTGCGTTACAACACACAAAAATGCGCGCTAACTATTTGGATTTCAAATTTACAAAAATGCTCACCCCAAAGCCAACCGAGGAAGAACATCTCGAGCATTAAATATCCTCCTTTGTCAACAATTATGCCAGCTACGATTGATACTACAGCAAGACCTAAATTTTGTACAGACTGTGCTCTGCAAGAAAGCAGATTATATATCAATATTTTCTTTACTATTAAGCATTATTCCGCTACAATGAGCAATAAATTGTGCTTACATTCCATAAGCAGTACCAAGTTGATGCTCTGGTGTGACAAGAGCAATTAAAGGCCATAAACTGCTAGCGAGCATGGAATATGCTAATCCCATGAGAACCATACACACATAGGGACTCAAATAGGTAAATGCGAGCAATCCATGTGCAAGGATAGTCACACAGATACTAATAAACACCCATGATACATTTTTCCCTGTCCTATCTACTAAGTAACCTAACACAGGTGACCATATCGCCGATATAGAATAAACGAGAGAATTCACCGTGTTTGCAGCAGATGGATCATATTCATATTTCCGTTCGAAAAATACTCTAAAAAAATTAATGAAATATTAACTCATTTTCTAATATGTAAAATTATAAATGAAGAGTAAGAGTAGTTAGTTCCTACTCATATGGAATGAATCGCGTAATATAATATCGTTATCAACATTATTCTAAAAAATATTTTACACGCTTGACTAATACGATTTGAAAATCATTTTATATAATAAGTGTTTACGCTATCATGCACTTACTTTCCCAAAGCGATAAAGGGGAATATTGCAACATAGTAAGCAATGCAAATGAGCGCAATCAACCAAAAGATCGGCTTAAAATCCTTGACGTCCTTCAGACTAACAACTTGCGGTTCTTGTCCCTCTCCTCGTCGGAGCAATCTTTCAGCGCGTTTGTCCATGAAGCCTAATATACACGCGCATATCATCGACATTACGCAAGTTCCAGCAGCGAGAAAGAGAACTACGCCGATGCACTCTGGGCCCTTATAATATTTAGATACATAATTGTATATTGGCTCCATTACTAAAAAGTTTACGGTCGATCCTACTCGCGCAAAGCTCAATTGCAGTCCAAACACCATGTTTAATTCTTTACCTTTGAACCAAAGGACTGCGTAACTGTTCTGGGCAACTGCCAATGATTCTGCACCGATTCTGGAAGGAAAGAAAAAAATAGTTTTTGATTCTATGATTTATAAAAGGATACGCAATAATTGTAATACTTAAATAGATACATACCCAAAGACAAATCGGCCGAGCATCATTAGCCAAAAAGCATCAAAAAAGGCACCGCTTGCAAAAATGATTTGGCCAATCAACGTGAGTCCCATATATATCATAGTACCTAACCGAATTCCAAAGACACTGTCCAATAAAAATCCACCAATAAAGCACAAAATGACATTCGGCCAGGAATATATGGAATATAGCAAAACAAATGTGCTAGTTGACATGTGTAAGTCAGTTTTAAAATTATCCTGTAATGCTCCAGGATTATCAAAACAAAAGTACGATCCTGAAATAAAGGATAAATATCTATTGAGAAGTATTTGCTAGAGCATAATCTTGTAAAGAGAGAGAGAAACACATTTCTTAAAAAGAAATTTATACAATAATCTTCTACAATTAGACAAATTAAAATGTTATTTGCTAAAAGATTTACAGTTCATTAAATGAAAGTAGTATTATCACATATGCATAATTTCATTATGTGTCATAAATTCTAATATCACACAATATATGGCAAATACTGAGAAAAGCATGATAAATCATACAAAGAGAACATTCATGATATGCCTTATCTAAGCAGTGTGTTAAATTTTGCTCTGTAATTAATAATGCATTTAAGAAAGCATATAAGAGAGCATATAAGAGAGAATGCAAACAATTTCAATTGCATTCCAACTAATTTTTTGTTTGTTTGTATGTCTTTATTTTTAATTTCAGCTATTAAATTGCAACTAAAAATTTTATTATAAATATTTATAAAAAAAACAAAAGAAAAACAAGCAAAGCATTAAATAAATATTATTATGTACCACTTTTTTTTATAAATGTGGTTAAAAGAGGTTATCTACATTCCCATCAAATATTAGAAATCTTAATATTAAATAAGTGCAACATATAAAAATCAATATTAAAAAATGTATATTGCACACAAAAGAAAACTCAAGAATTAGATAGTTTCATTTAGAATAAAATGCATTTTTAAATAAAGGTATATCCCAAGTAATATATAAATACAAAGATCGCGAGAGAGTCTGAAACGCAGAATGAAATTCCGCGATAGCAAACGAAATATTCATCGATTCATCCCGTTCGTCGTTATCGACGCGATAACAATTCGCTCTTTTGACAGTGACACCGTTTCAGCTGTGAGATGACAGATAAAGAAGCGACGCGTTGCCGAGTAAACAACGCATCCGCGAAGTTACGTCAGTTCATACCGAATCCGAGTAGACACATGAGCGCCAGGCCCAAAAATCGGTAGGGCATTCTCTTGGGACTGCAACATCCTTGTAGGGCTATCTCGTCTTCGGACCTGTTCATTTCAGTACTAGCGGAGTTTTCCGCTACGACTCCCTCCATGCTTCGTTGTTATGGTCTGTTGCTTTGTTGTCGTCCAATATCGGAAGAGTTTATACGTTACATATGTCAAATTCAGATAATCTGATGCACGTGGCGTTTTCGTTCTTTTTCTTTCACATCGCACGATTATCGAGATCGGCGGCACTGTGATCGAAGAACAACGCCGACGGACTACTCCCAATGCATCCCGCAACAGCCCAGTACCACGATTGTTGATTAATCTGTCAGTCGACGCGCGTATGCGTCATCCTACCCGAGCCCGAGACACCGAGACTCCGAGACATATCAGATGCAGGCTAGATTTTACGCGCATGTACGACAAAATCCCTATAAGGCGGGAGGAAAATGCGTACCAATGGAATGAAACGAAATAACTAATTTTCCTTGCGCCAACGTATTCTTGACGGTACGACAAAAATAATTATAATTTATTGCGCAATTTTTATAGTATAATGTTTCGATTATGTGATTCGATAAAAATTTCATGCAGAGCGTTTTCACGATTCTTCTACATTTTATTAAATTACCGTATTATTGCTCAATTGCATTCGCAATGATTCGCACATGTGGAGATTTCAATAGCAGAAACAAATCTGTAATAAATTTTATCAAATATTGTCTCAATCCATAAGAATTTTAATCATTATTTTACGATTATTGCAAGTCTTACTTTCCTTTTCTAAATATTGTAAATTGCACTTATTTTTCCAAACAAAGACTTCCTATAATCAAAATTACATTAGAAGATGAATAAGTTTTTCATATATTCAAAAAAATAAAATTCAAGTTGTATATAAGAAATCCAAGGATATCAATTCAGCATCAATTTCACCTTTTGCAAAAACAATGACATTAAATTAGATTTTTATACATTTATTGTAAAAAGGTAACTTATGAGCTTATATGCGATCGAGATACTTAAAACTAGTTAAAATTCGAACCATCAATGAACAATCAGATGATAGAAAACTTGGTATAGTCAAGTCCTTAGCTGTTTACTCAGTTAACTTAATTAATAAGTTAACTATATAAAGCTAACCAGTAACTTCCTCGGTAGCGCCTTCTTCGAATTCAAGTTTCACTTGACATTCCTCGGGAAGTCCCTCGACATCCACTTCCGTCTCAGGTGCGTTCAGCATATTGAGCGTTACTTCCGCTGATTTTCCTATTAGACTTTGATTTCCCGATGTGGACTGCTGCTTAACGACCTGTTGCTGAACTAATGTCGATTGTTGTGCTTGCTGAGGAAGAATCTGTTGTTGCCTGACGGATATTCCGGCTTCTTCGAACGCCTTTTTCTTCAGGGTGGTCCGTATCTGAGAACTGGAAAAGAGAGCAATATGTTTGCTGTAAAATTCAGGCCTACCTCAATGGCAGCCTTTGGAAACTTACACCGTCCGACTCTTGATGTGCTCGCTTATTCTGTTCAACTCTTCGCTGAAAGCCCTTACTGAGTGACGGAGCATCTCAATGTCCTCCTCAGTCCATTTACTATTGAGGGGGATAGGAAATTATGAAAAGAGCATGGGGTCTATAATAGTTATACAGAATAATACTCTGATGGTGTACACTGCATATTTATTGAAAACAAGAAAAACTACTTTGTGATTATCTTGGGCCGTGTTCCAATATTACTGCCAGTATTGAAAATCTATAGTGTACGTTACATAAACTATAGATTTTCAATACTGGCAGTAATATCGGAACGCAATATTGATTACACATTGAAAATAATCTATTCGCGCGATATAATAACCAAAACTAATTATTTAAATAGACAAGAGCGAATTAAAATAGGAACTAATCTTTTTATAACATTCTATAGAAATCTATAGAATAATAAACAAAAAGCAAAAAACTCCCCCCAAAAAAGATAAAAAAAAAACTTAATTCAATAACATTTGCTCATTTATTCTCATAAACATCTCTGATCAGTTTTCTAATCCAAATCGTAAACACATAATGGAAACAAAATTTAGTAATAATATGACTTCCATGAAAAATTATCAGATATCTTGCTTTGCCCTCTGCAAATTTCATGCTGGACTCTTACTTCCTATCTTTTGTCATCCTCAAAGTTTAATGTACACTATCAAAAAATCATTCCGCACTATAAACATCGTCATAATAATCATGACAAAATCATAAATTTTTCATGTAACTTTTACTTGCTATATTAGAGACGGTTGTTATTTTCATACATCCTGATAAGATTAGAAACTTATATTTTTCTACCACTAAACAATATTCCATTTTATAGGTCGCAATAATATTTTCATATTTAACTTACCCTGCCAGCGAGTCTGACGTTGGATGCAGCTGCATTGTGAGTTCACCCAGCTTGTTAAAGGCCACACCAGCTGCGGTGAAGATTTCACCCACCTAAAAGCAAATAGAATTTAAGTTTTTTTTTTTCTAACTGTTATGTGTGTATTCGTTGTTAATAATAACTACATTAAAATTTCTCTCATCATCCATTATGGTTAATATCATGTTAATACAATGTTATAGATAAAAGTTATCTAAAGATGAACTGCGAATTGTTAATGTTTCAAACTTTTTCTTTCTTCTTAGTTGTAAATATAGAAATTATGAACAGACATAATGCAGCACACAAATATAAAAAAAAAAAATTGTAACCACAGAAAGTGTAAGCATCACCGGCATATAATTGCTTAACCTAACGATATTTATTACGTTTTTTTTTTATACAAACTGTATAATATATTTTAAATACAATACGATCACCATGCAAACATCGAATTTATTAATTAAAATATTTTTACAAAAAAGTACAAAATTGTAGAATGAATTAAATAAAACCCTTCAACATAACATCGATATAAAAATCTGCGATTTCCTCGAGTTGGGGGCTTTATTTGAAACATTTCTTTTATTCCTGGATTTCTTCAGCATCGCACACGACTCGCGAAAAAGATTTGAAACATGAAATACAAAGAAACTGATCAAATTCATTAACAATGGCTTTTATATTCACCTTGCTCGCAGAGTTCATGTTGTTGTTATTGTTGTTATATTCGATCACAACCGTTCCAACGATAGTGACATGGAGGCGACATTAGTACTCCGTTACCGCCATCTCGTGTCTTTTTTGCGAATCTCGTTCGCTAATTTTGTTCTGTTTTACCGTTACTTGTGTCAAAAATCTTTACATATCCTATATTGACTATTTTACTTATTCGATAAGATTATACTTCGTATAAATATTTGTACATTGTGCATTAATATTGAAAATTGGGAGTTTAGGCAGTAGATCTCTTTTTAGAAATCCTATTTTCTTAAAAAATGCATCTCGTTTATAATAGGAATTAAATTGTATACGAAACACAAGTTATCTATTTATCATGTACATTATTTTTTTATCTTCTTTAATAAATCTCTTTTTTCTTTTTTAATCATAATATAAAAAATGTAGCAACTTTTTTTCTTAAAAGGAATTGATCCCTTTCATAAAACGAGTTGATTTTACGATCGCTACTTTCTTTCGTAAATCAAAAGCGTGCGTCCCCAATCGTTACCCGCGGTGACGGTGACTTTTCGAAAATCGCACAGCCTGGTCAAAATATCCTCAATATGCTGCGTCGGATTGCCGGTGTATTTTAATTCCTTCAGCAACGGAAAGTCCTCCGATTTCACTCTTCGCAGCCTTCTCGACGCGTTTCTGTAACATTTCCAAGGCTGCGGCTCGATAACGATCATTTCCGATAAATCGCAAGCTTTTCGTAGAAATTCTTCCAGACCGTCATCGCCATGATTTAGATGAATCCACATAGTGATCGAGAAGCAGAACACCACGTCGAATCGTGTCTTGTGAAGCTGCGCCAGATGCTTCCTCAACGTCTCGCCGCAATCATCGGACAAAAAATCCAGACACTCGAAGGTCAGGCGATCCGGGCGCCGATTACCTTCGCGCGCTCTCTCGATCAGAATCGGATCGAGATCCACACCGATTAAAGAAATCTCGGGTTGATCTTGGGACATAGTCTTCTCGAGGAAGTCGTATAACATGTATGTGAGATTCTGCAAAACGAGTCGTTAAGTAGAATTAAATATAAATATACAAGATATATTTAGATACGTTCTTTCAGTCACAGATCGCAAAGTCAGATTTAAAATTTATATTTACTTGGCAAAAATTTTGTGGAAAATTTGTCGTATTTTTTTTAATTGTCATTATTAAATAAATTTAAAAGTTATATTTAATTCTTTTAGACTGACTTTTGTTTTCTTAAAATAAAATATAGCTAATATTAATTGAAGAAGAGAAAAGAAATTGTTATTAATATAATAAAGACAGCACTTCAAAAATCATAAATTGATGGCTTATACACATTAGTTAATGTCAATTCTTCTTAATAGAATTTTCGTCTCAAATTATCTGAAATGGAAAAGGAAGCACGATATTTGCGCCATATAATTAGGAAAACACTTTAATAGGTAGAAAGAAGAACGAGCACACATGCAGGAAATTTCTATAACAAGGACACAAAAGATACGAATTCCGGAAACGGATGACGCGCGACCGCTACCTGAAAAGGGATAACTCGACTCAAAATTAGACGCGCCGTTTGTAGTTTCAGATCACGAAGGCCAAGTCTCATCCCGTTTTGGATCCCCGACAGATGTGCCGTTCTTACCCCGGCGTTACAGCCGACGTCTAGACCCATGTATTTCCGGGCCGGATGAGCGTCCCGTCGTCGCTGCCACACGCCACGCGGAAGTTGCCGCACGCGCTCTTCCTTGGTAATAATTTATGAAGTTCCCGTGTCTGATAGCGCCCGGATCCGTTTTCTCGCCGCTACTCCCGTCGCCGCTCATTGTGTATTAAAAAAAAAAAACAAAAACTGGAACATACAAAATATATGGAAATATTATTACGCGCTAATTGTAAGTGACTTTTCTTGTCTGAATATAAATATAATGATGAGCGTATTAAATAACTCCGAATATGTTTACGCGATATAATCTATTAGATATTAGATTCATCAATATTAATATTAAAACTTGGAAATAATGAAACATATCATGTGCACATATTTTACTAAGGAAATAATAATAAAATTAAAGTAATTTTATTTTCCGCTGTATAAAACGGAGAGAAACTCACAGTGATTTTAAAGCATATATGCGTGATTTCTAAAATCAAGCAGAGATCAAATATTTAATACGATAGGAGAATGGATTTCTATCACAACTCAATTCTTTTTTAATTCTCAGTTTAATGTATGGCAGAAATGTAGTGCAATGTTGAGTATAATATTGCAATAGTATGTATACGATCGTGGGTGACGACGGCAATGACGACGTTAACAAGCGACAAAGAGACGGAAAGAGTATTAGTGGAGAAGAGGAGAAGAGAGGGAGAGAGAGAGGGGAGAGGGGGGTGGAAGAGGAAGGGAGAGAGAAAAGAGAACAGAGGCTACGAGAGAAGGTCAGGGGGACCAAAAGCGGAAGGATTGAACGGTTAATTCGTGTCCGCGACCTAAATAATTGTAACCTTCCATTAAGAGACGACGGACCGTGGAAGATTATCGATAGATTATTTTAACTGTGAATGATCTGTCATTGACAACTCTGAAAAGAAACTAAAAAGCAATATTAAAGAAATACTGAAAAAAATTATCAAAATTAGACAAGATATTAAAAGATACCAAAGTTTATATAGAGCAAACTAAAATAATTTAAAATAATAAAAAAAAAAAAATGTTTTGCGTAGAACACAAATCAAATACTCTTCTTTTATCCATTGTTAAAGATTGAGAAGCTTTATTTAGAAAAAAAGATATAAGCAAGCTAATTGTAAGTGACTTTTCTTGTCTGAATATAAATATAATGATGAGCGTATTAAATAACTCCGAATATGTTTACGCGATATAATCTATTAGATATTAGATTCATCAATATTAATATTAAAACTTGGAAATAATGAAACATATCATGTGCACATATTTTACTAAGGAAATAATAATAAAATTAAAGTAATTTTATTTTTCGCTGTATAAAACGGAGAGAAACTCACAGAGATTTTAAAGCATATATGCGTGATTTCTAAAATCAAGCAGAGATCAAATATTTAATACGATAGGAGAATGGATTTCTATCACAACTCAATTCTTTTTTAATTCTCAGTTTAATGTATGGCAGAAATGTAGTGCAATGTTGAGTATAATATTGCAATAGTATGTATACGATCGTGGGTGACGACGGCAATGACGACGTTAACAAGCGACAAAGAGACGGAAAGAGTATTAGTGGAGAAGAGGAGAAGAGAGGGAGAGAGAGAGGGGAGAGGGGGGTGGAAGAGGAAGGGAGAGAGAAAAGAGAACAGAGGCTACGAGAGAAGGTCAGGGGGACCAAAAGCGGAAGGATTGAACGGTTAATTCGTGTCCGCGACCTAAATAATTGTAACCTTCCATTAAGAGACGACGGACCGTGGAAGATTATCGATAGATTATTTTAACTGTGAATGATCTGTCATTGACAACTCTGAAAAGAAACTAAAAAGCAATATTAAAGAAATACTGAAAAAAATTATCAAAATTAGACAAGATATTAAAAGATACCAAAGTTTATATAGAGCAAACTAAAATAATTTAAAATAATAAAAAAAAAAAAATGTTTTGCGTAGAACACAAATCAAATACTCTTCTTTTATCCATTGTTAAAGATTGAGAAGCTTTATTTAGAAAAAAAGATATAAGCAATAAGCATAATTTAAAATCTAACTCCAAAAAGCGGTGATTGATTAAAATTATTTTTACATCGATAAAAGTTTTATATGTCAAACAAATTTAAAAAGATGTGGATCTTTTATTTACAAGATTATTTACGGTACATAAAAAATACATTACCCAGAATATTTCACTAAACCGAAATATATTCATTGTCTAGAAAAATCGAAATTTTTAGTCTTCACAGGTTTATTCGTCACTTTTGCGCTTTATCCTTGATCCTATTCGTTTTATCCTCTATTTTCTAACGGTGTCAAAAGAGAGAGAACAAAAGGCTAATCCGAAAAGCGTCCATCCAGCAGAAAATCACTTTTGTCTATTTTTGCGAAGTCACACAACGGACAATATATGATAATACCTTTTCAGGAGACGCCTTTCCGCCGAAGATTCGGTAAATATTGAATCCGATACGGCACGACAGGGAGGCGGTCCATCGATCTTTCATTGCGTTGCCAAATCCTTTCGAGGTATATATACGGATTGCTAAATCCGAGCCGAGATCGTGAGGGCACGGTACCCACGTGCGCATATGTGTGCTCACGATTGTGTACCAACACATTACCACACATTGCCTGGCGCGGTAAAATTTATCGAATTAAGAAGGCGATTGGATTCCAGGCTCCTCGCGCCTTCGTGAGAACACATAGGCGAGCCCTCGTTGTCTTATGCGTTCCGATTCGTGAAGGAATTGCTCGTTACTTGCGTAATCGTTTTGTCAGTGTTAATCGTAATCATTATAGCGGGGAAAACGATACACAACTTGCTTGGTGCCTAATTACCTCGCGTCGTGTGTCTGCGATTATAGTTCAACGTAATTAGCCGAATAATTCTGGACTTGTATGGCGATTTAGCGCGGAATTTCTTGCGGGAGAGTATATAATGAGTATCTCTATATCGTCGATTGCAACGAGTATTATGACCTGCCTGTATACATCTGCGCATGGATTGCATCAGTGACATTGGCGCTGATATGACCTCATTTGCGTCACAGATGCATATGTTAGTTGAAAAAAAGCACCTAAGCGAAATTTCAATTTCTCAACTGTCGTCGCGCGTCTCGAATTTATTCAGATATTAATTAATCGTTATTCTACAAATTAAATAAACGAAAAAGCAATAAGGGTGGTCTGTGTGTATTTTTTTCAAATAGATGTACGTAAATGTATGGATGTTTCTAACAAAAGTGACAAACATTTTTTTTATAAATTCGTATAAGGAATATATTAAAGACGTTTAAGACGACAAAATAAAAAATCTTGCGACAAGAATATATATAAAATTTTATATTACAAATATAAATTACATACATGAACATGCGAAATGGATTTAGTGTTGCTCGCTTGCGTTCTTACGAAACGTAAGAGTGTTTCGGTAGAAGCATCTCACGACACGGGACATTGAACTCACGTGTGTCGTCACAAGTGCCACATAAATGACACGATCGCGATTAGTCATCTGAAATCAACATCGTCTTCGATCTCGAAAGGGAACGCCTAAGGGCATTCTCTGTCGTAACAAGCTATCATCTTGGGCAACGCGCGCATAATAATCCTGAGACGATTCGTCTCACTCGTGAGATCAGTTTCGTCTTAACGCATAATTTTCATAATGGTCTTTTCGTCATCAAATTCCAAGATTGATTTATATCTAAAAAATTAATTCCAAGATTGATTTATATCTAAAAAATCAATAAACAATTCCTCAATTATGTATATAATATAGAAACAACTAAATGTGGAAACAACGGATGCACAATTCAAATATTTCTTTCAATGAATAAAAATTCGGATACGAAAAAATTATAATAGCAATGACAAAAAGTCTCAAAATCTCCCATCCCAAAATATTTTTTGACAAGATTGCCTATTTATATAAAAACTACTATGTGCCTTTCGCAAGAGAAAAAAAACGAAGGGGTAAAAGCATCTCTTCTCATAGCGTGTGGTCGATCGGAAACCGGTCAATGGCATGGGAGAGGGGGAGGGGGAAGGGGCAGCTGCATGGACCTTTTTGCTCTGCGATCCCTTCTTTCCAGTATCGAAAAATCGTGATGTTAGCCAGAGGTTCGCTCGGAGAAGATAAAGTAAAATATGCCCCGGAAGTCGTTCGTAAAGCGATCCATTACCGCGTACATCCGGCGCATTCATTTGTCGTTTTTTCCGCGGTCCATTCATAGTAAATCCGCTTTTTCCGGATTTTCGTGTCCTATGCCGGCTATGACAAACAAATCGACGCTGAGATCTTGCCGAGATCTCCCGACGACAACGCGCACGACAAAAGGCGGACACCTTGTTTAAGCCGCTTCGAAAGGGGCGTTCCGGGGTGCGTACGGTTACCTTGAAAAATATCGGTATTACCTCGAGAGAACAAGCCGATTGCCGCCACGTGCGTGCGTCTTTCGATTCTCCGCACGGTGAATCGACCGTGCAGTTAACCGCGCAAACGACTTAATCCTTCATCAAAGGTTGTGTTTTCTTTTTTCTCCACTTTTCGCGATCCAAGATATATCCCTTTCAAAAATACTGTTAGCTCAAAAGATATTTAAACATAAAACTGTTTTACAAAATAAAATCCATAGATGCAAACGTATATACCTAAATCTTTTTTTATTATAGGAAATATTATTATATGTAATATTATTTCTCTTTTAATTAATAGATTGAATTACAAGATTGAATATAAAAAAATAAATGCTGCATTTTCTTAAAACTCCTTATCTCTCAAATGTTGCACTATATAAAAAAACGATATACATATATGTATGTTATCTATCTTCCTGTTTACATTAGCCGAAAACACGAAGGCTAGCATTTATCATTTTACGTAACAAAATTTCGCAAAGCCGACTAGTATCTTCTTAATATGATTAAATATTTCCTTGAAACAATGATATTCTTTCGGATTTTCTGATGAATCAGGATTTTTTTTTTTTTTTTTTTTATGTATATAACATTCGTCGCGAGACATAAATTAAGTAAAAGAAATTTGATATATACATACACAGAATGCTTAATTATATATACAAGTATATAATGGTATTAATAATAAATATCTTTCTCGAGCTAATCGCAATTTTTTAGAAACGGTTAGACATCTCCCTGGAATTCATTTATGCGAACGTTGCAACGTACCGTACCGGAAGCGTATCATATAGCGGATGACGCGACTTCCGGGACGCGACCTTAAGAATTCCAATTCTCATCGCTCGGTATCGTCGAAATCCGTTTACTCAGCCGCTTCCAGTA